AATAGTTACTCCAGATGCAGTATTAGAACTTGTTACAAGGGTAGAAATCATGCAAGGAAGGTATAAATGTAAATTGATTTTTGTACTTTGAAGTGATTGATAATAATAATTTAATCCTTTATAAAGAGTCTCTAAAATCTATTATTTAAAAAGTGGCAAGAGGAAGAAAAATAATCTCAGTGGTAGGTGTGTAATTTCATTTTGTTGTTGCTTTATTTATAATGGAGAGAGGTGAGATATATGAAGTATTAAAAACAGAAAGCACTGTTTCTTTCCAGAGGATTAAATTGGTATACAGGCTAAAATTTTCATAAAATATTTACAGTTATAACAAATGATATCTCAAGTTGACATTTATAATAGTGATTAAAAAATGCCTTCCATATAGTTACATTTTCCCTTTCCCCATTTAGTTGTTATTTCTTACTACTGAGAGCTTATGAATGCCACACGTTTTCTCCCATAAGCACACGAATATTTTTTATGCTGAAATGAAATGTGTAACACAGTGATTAAAGATGTCTGCCTCAGCTATTTATACTTCTTTTTAAATCAGAGAAATTTAACTATATGACTTTATAGAAATACCAAGCCAATACTTCAAGATTAAACTTAAGTTAATATTTTATGAATGAGGCTCAGAGACAATACAATAGTGAACACAACAGTCCTAACCCTTAAGAGGCATCTGATCCAGGTCAAGGAAGACAGATTTTTAAAAAACTAACTGTAATTGAAAAATCAAATTAAATAGTATGTTCCTGTTAATAGAAGAGGTTATCGATTTTGACAGTTGCCATCCGGAAACCTTTTGGAACAATTCAGCATGTGAGCAATGCCTTAGGGATATGTATTTACACTCTGGTTGATGAAGCAGAGTCCTGAAAGTACCTAACATAATTGAGTAGATGTGAGACAAGTAATGTAATGTGTCCACAAGGGCAGGGACCACTGTCTGCTTCATTCATGCTACACTGACAGCATTCAGGATGATGTCTGGTGCAACAAACATATGTTGAATAAATGAATGAACTGGACACTAGGCCATGGGAAGAAAGGTGGGGAAGCACTGGAAATGAGGGAGGACTCCACAAAAGCTTAAGAATATGAAGATGATAAAGAACACTGTCGGTTTTTGAAGAAGAGGATAACGTGACCTACTATTTATTTTTAATATTAAAATTCTAGAAGCAAGGTCAATTGACTGAGGAGATGAGTCTATAGAAAAGGTACAATAAAAGGTACCAGGACTGCAAAAAAGAGTCTTCATGTGGGACTCAGATGGATCTAACAGAACCTAAGGAACAACTTAGGTACAGCAGTGAGCAAAAGAATGGAGATTTAAGATGAATTTGGAGATTTTCAAACTGAGTGATCAGCAGAATGATAGTATCTTCATGTGATATAAGGAGAACAGGTAAACAGCAAGTTTTGGTAGAAGAAAAAATATATTTTGTTTTTAGGCATATTAAATTTAAGATGCTTCCTGGAAATCCATATGGAAAAGATTAAAATGAGGAAACTTAAGATTTGGCGTTCCAAAGGGAGCCAGGATGAAAGCTGTGGACAAACACAATACAAGATTATTTACTTCCCATGGCCTTCTCTACTGTCGCAGCACCAGAATTGACACTGTCAGCACAGTCGTGATATCCACGGAAGGGCATGCCCGGGATTGGGGACAAGATATTGGGAAACACACATACACATATTTAAGAGAAAAGAGGGAAAAGAACCACTGGAAGTGATTACAGTAGATTGATGAGAAAAATGAACAAAGATCAAGGGAAAATTTTTAAAGAAAGAAGCTAAAGGAAAGAAGCTGTGCAAGCTATTCAGAACCTCAAGAACCTTTCCTAATTCTGCACTTACCTTCAGAATATGGACCAAAAAAATCAATAGGAGTGGCTAACAGAAATCAAACTCTCCAAAAAGAAAACTAGGAATTCCCCCAATCTCACGAATGGAATAAGAAATATGACTCGAGCCTTAAATCTGCTATTGTGACTTTTAGTGAATTATTTAAATCTACATACCTCCAGTCATACAGAGACAAGAAATTTTTTTCTTTTCTTTCCTTTTTTTTGTTTTGAGATAGAGTGTCATTATGTCGCCCTTGGTAGAGTGCCATAGCATCACAGCTCACAGCAACCTCAAACTCTTGGGTTTAAACAATTCTCTTGCTTCAGCCTCCCAAGTAGCTGGGACTACAGGCACCCGCCACAACGCCTGGCTATTATTTGGTTGCAGTTGTCATTGTTGTTTAGCAGGCCTGGGCCAGGCTCTAACCTGCCAGCCTTGGTACATGTGGCTGGCGCCCTACTTACTGAGCTACGGGTGCCAAGCCTTTCTTTTCTTTTTTTAAAATGAAGTTTCAGGGGGAAAGCAAGAAGAACTGAGAAGTATAGTGAGGGCTATAACAGGATGTTTTAACACAAGATGTAGTTCCCACCCCCAAGTTATAAAGTCATTTTGAACCAAGTGAAAATCATTTAAGTTACTTAAACTAAACGCTGCATTCAGAGTTCCATATGAGGGAATAAATATTACAGAATGATGCAAGTCATCATTAAAGCAGACCAGGTGAGCAACTGCCACACTGACACCCTACGAGTAATACTTGAGTTGAGATCCCACTGAGCTGAGTTTACTCAAAAATAAACCAGCATGGCTTCGTGGTCAGGGTGCCCAGGCATATACACCAAGGCAGGAGGGTTCAAACCTGGCCAGGCCTGCTAAACAATGATAACTGCAACAAAAAAATAGCTGGCATGTGGAGGGCACCTGTAGTACCAGTTACTTGGGAGGCTGAGGCAAGAGAATTGCTTGAGCCCAAGAGTTTGAGGTTGCTATGAGCTGTGATGTCATCGCACTCTACTGAGGGCATCATAGTGAAATTCTGTCCAAAAATAAATAAATAAATAAAAATAGACCAGATTATATGCCCGTTACTATAAAGCGGTTTGACTGGTTTAAATCAAATTTTCCAGAAGCTAGCCTGAAACTCTAATAAAGAAAAATTGTTTGATAAAATATCATTAAGAGAAAAAAAAACAAAAAACAAGCAAGCTATGGTAGCTCTAGTGACTTTATAACCCTTTGTGTGTATGATTCTTCAAGGATGAGTTCTTAGAGGAAGAATAGGGGCCAAGGGCATAAACATTCTGAAGAGTTCCAATACACAATGACAAAGCACCTTCAGACATGGCATTTGAATGTACATTCTTAAAAGCTGCTGAAAAAGTGCTTGTCTCTTAACATTCTAGTCACCATTTAATATTATTTTTACTTTCACTTTTTGTTAACTTGACCCAAGAAAAAAGTGTACTATTACTTTTGTGTCATTCGACTAATTAGAGTTCTTTCTAGAAATGTCTGTTACCGATTTGCAGAGATCTATATGAAAAAGACAGATCCTATAATTATTGCAAACTACAAAAGAAGTATCACCCTCATCAACCTCATGCTTCCACACTACACAGCTTAAGACTGATGAACTGGCTGATGCCAAATTCTACCTGTCTTCCTGCTGCTTGGTAAGTCTTTTTTTTTCTTTTTCTTTTTCTACACGCTGTAGCCATAATTCCCAACAGCTGGCTGTTGTGAATCTCCTCTGCTTTTCCTAAACTTTAGTTCAACCCTGAATCCCTCCTGACACAGACCTGTCAGACCATGAGCATCCAGGACAGAGTGATCCCCGGAGCCTAGAATAATAGTGCCAGGCACACGGAAGGCCAAATAAAATTATTTATTTATTACTAGATGGGCATGGCATGGCTTAAAAAGACATTTATATGGGGCCAGCGCCTTACTCCTTTGAGCCACAGGCGCTGCCCAGCTTGATCATTCTTGATTGAAGCCACCATGAGAAAGACGAGGAAACTCACGGAAATAAAAAATTATGAAGAAATACAAGCAAACGAAATTAATGAAATATGACAGTACATTCACCTTTGTTTTGCAGATTTCATAAGACATTGTACATGGACAGTAAAGAAACTTGTCTTGTTTCTCCACTGCATCTGTTATAGTCGTAGTACAGGAGGAGCATAATTTTTTTAAGCGTATAAATCAACATTGCACATTATCATCTTCCCGTACTGGGAGAAATAGTCATTTGGGATGTCTATAGAATCAGATGTGCTTCGGGGGAGTTTCTAAATTATATGATTATGGTACATGGAATTTACTTTCCTCCTAGATCTCTTGAGGATATAGCACAAATATTTAAATCATATCTTTTTCTCATAATATATCTAGCCAAATCCAAAAATACAAGGAAAACTTAAAAGAAACCATTAAAAGAAGAAAAAGTGGATCTCAAGTAATAATTGAGATTAAATCACAAATGATAAGAAACTGTGTACTTTTAAAAAAACATTAATAACTTAAAATTAATTTCTGATTTACTAATGAAAAGGAAAATTTTCATACTTATATGTGTTGCTATGCTTTTTAAAGACAAAAACTGCCAAGGTTTTTGAATCAGCTTGCTTCTAGTTAAGGCTAAACATGAGAAAGACTACTATGTTGATCAAAGCATATGCTTAATTCATAAAGGAGAATAAAGGAAATGTTAGTACATAGCACATTCCAGTGAAAAGGAGAAAAAAAGGTTAATCAATGCAACTCAATTTTAGCTGAGGGCATTTTTCCACGACTACTGAACCTTAGCATGTGTCAGGCAGCTAAAATTATACTAAAACGTGTAAGCTCTGTTGTTATTTTAGAGATAATCCAGGAAGCAAAACAAAGCCAAAAATTCTCTCTGCATTTTTAACATGGATGCTTTAATTTTCAGTCAAGGGTATATGTTTTTTTCTGTTTTAAGATTTTTATGTATTGTCTACTCTTTTGTGAATATTTGAAAGTTTCTATAACAAAAAGTCAAAAAAAATAACAAAATGATTTTCACATGTATACCCCTGTCATATTCTGAAATTAAAAAAAACGTTGTATATATTTCCAACACACTGTTCAACCTTTAAAACAATTCTTACCAATCTCTGTTTCTGAAGCTCTTCTCTAAGAATTCTATCTTCTGGTAAAACATCACATAACAAAAAATAATTTTCTTGTTCTTCTGTTGAGAGATTAGAAAAATAAATGAGAAAAAAGATACTTTATCATTTTTTTCTCCAAAGAGTATTTATTCCTTTGAAGGTGTGTATTAGGATCCCTGCTGGTGTAGGGTTGTTTTAGTTTATTCAAATTAGGCAAGATAAACACGGCAATTTAATTTTAGTTCTCATGAAAGTGAGAGTAAGATTTAAGACAGATTATTCCTGTAAATTTTTGGATTGTAAGGAAAAAATGGTAGCCAAAATGTATACTTACCAAATGGAGCTGTGGAATTGATTCTTATCACACTACAGAAATCTGTGATGGGTTGTTCAGCGAACCTTTTCTTCCAATATAAAATGTACCTTAGAACAATTAAAAAAAAAAAAAAAAAAGAAGATGGTGAGAAGACTGAATGTACAACTTTCTTTTGAATGACAGAATTTTATAAGAATATTTAATTATCCCAAAGCAACAAATCAAATGTTAACTGAAAACTGCTAAAACATTTGTGAAGATAAAGGCAGTGCATTGCAGAAATATGAAATAAACATTTAATAAAAGCAATTACCATGTAAAGGCATGAAATTGATTAAACTTTACCATTTCCACGCTCAACAAAGACATATAGAAGAGTTAAAATGAATATTTTTATCTGATAATGAAGTTTTCTGAAATAACATCTAAGTTTATATGTCTTTTAAATGCAACAATAATTAAATAAGCTATGACACATTCTCCAATAAAGAGATGGTTAAGTGGTTATCTTATGTACCAAAAGAATAGAGCTCAGAAGAATAGTACAATGAGAAATCAGTCTAACTTCAATATCTATACAACAAGATGGAGAAAGTCCATGTACGTTCACTCTCTGTCTAAAATGTGGCAACTTCAGACACTGGAAAAATAGCTGAACTCATAATTCTTATATCTAATGAGTAGAGTTAGAAGCAGCGCACTGGCTAGGAAAAAAAAAAAAAGCATAACACCCAGACCTACATATCCGATGAAAGAGGGAGTAGAATGACAGAATTGAACGAACTGTTCACCTTTCTAGTTTTCCAACAAGATTCATATTGGTAATTGCAATTCCATTTATTAAATAGTACTAAGAAGAGAATGTGGTCTTCTTCATGAGGAGAAAGGAAATGGAAAGGTTGACTCTATGGCTGAAAATTTATCAGGCTACACAACTGATGGATAAAATAAGTAACTTACACGAATAAAGGAGTCTGAAATTAAAAAAAAAAAAGTAACTTACACACACAAAAAAAGTAGGCCTCTGAAAAAGATGGGACTTGAAATACATGAAGTGTATGGAAAGAATAGGAATTTGTACATTTTAAATAACTTGATCTAATACCAGGCTGTGTTTTAGATATAACATTGTCCACAATAAGTGTTTTAGAGATGTAGAAAAGCATTTGAAGATTCCTATAAAGTTCTCCCAGTAGCCCTCAACTTCCAATATTTTATATTTTTATTTTAACTTCCTTTCTCCTTAACAAAAATTTTTTAACATTAATTTTTAAATCTTATGGGGCTCTACAGAAAGAATATTTGTTGAATTAGGAAAAAAAGATCAATAAATCAAAAAGTTGGTTTCTTTAAAAAGTCAATAAAATAGATAAACCTTTGGCCAACCTAACCAAGAAAAAAAGAGTAAAATCTCTAATCTCATCAATCAGAAATGGTAAAGATGAAATAACAATAGACCCTTTAG